GAAAGTCAAAATAAGAATGAAGATCACTAAACCAAATAACAAAGGTAACAGTACGTCTGTTATGATATCAAAATAAAGTTTACTAACTTGATCATCGTTCGTCAGGCTAGGTCGTTTTTCGTTGTCAAGTTGGTCAGTTGGTTAAGATAAGAAAATCAAGTGTAGATTGTTGGATTTGATCAGTGTGTAGAATTATGAAAGTAGTGTGTGTTTACATAGTGAACTTGCTTATCACATTTGCGTTGATTTTGCTACTTCATGGGGAAGGGGGTGTTGTAGCCAGGTCAGATTCTGTTTTAGTCCATCATTCCTATTCAGTTCAGACAATTTGGATTCCACTTGATATGAAGTGCTTCTGATGAAATTAGACGTTCTTTGTGATTTCTGAATTGCATTTTCTGGATTATTTCAATATTGTTAAAATCAATTTTGTGGCCTGATTCTCTATAGCGTGTAGACAGGCTATGGCTGGTGATTTTTCAAGTTTTTCTAGTTCAACTGGATTTCTCGGTGGTCGAAGAGATGCTCTACGGTGTTCATTTCTTCTGATTTTGATTTCTCTCTGGATCTGGACAAGGTTGTTTTGAAGTGTGTCCGATGTTTTGAAGAAAACTCTTATGTCGAGCTGATTGAGTACTCTTCTGATATCGTCTGACGTCTCTGCTCTAAATGGAATGACGACTGTTGAAGTCCCTGTTTTCGGAATGCATTTTCGGCCATACTTAATGTCTGTGTTGATTTTGTTGATGAAGTTCCTTGGGTATTTGTTTTGCTTGAGAGTTTCAGTAATGTTTGATATTTCTTCTTCTTTTTCTTGCTCATCCGTTATCAAAGTGTGCTCGTCTAAGAAGACTTGAAACAACTGAAATCTTTGCACTGATGGGGTGTGATGATTTGAAGTCTAAATATTTATTGGAGTGGGTTTTCTTCCTGAATATGGATATACTAAAGAAAGACTGATAACAGAATCGATATTCATTAAAGTCACACCGGATACATGTAACAAGGGTGACTCAGTACAACTATCAACAACTTGGAATATAATTCTATATACAAACACATGAATGAACGTGAAATATAATTCTGCACACACACACACAAAAACGAATGAGCAAAAAAATTATAATAATGAACTACATATATAAGTACAAATCATTATTATTTATTATTATTGCTCCCTTGGGTTCCTAGTGGAACATAGGGCTTCAACTGCACGTCTCCATTTTCTTCTGCTATACTTTTCGCCTGCATCCATGTTAATCCATCTTCTTTCAACTCCTCTTCACACGATCTCCTCCATGTCACCCTTGGACGTCCCACACGCCGCTTCCCTTTCGGCCTGGTTCCACTCGAGGGCTTGGCGTGCGATGTCACCCAGCGGTCTCCTCAGCGAGTGTTCGATCCATCTCCACTTTCTCCTGCATATTTGTTGGGCGATTGGTTCTTGCTTTGTTTGTTCCCATAATTCCTTGTTGGTGATTCTTTCCAGCCCGGCCATCTGATCTTCAGTATTGAGCGAAGACAGTTGTTAATAAAGGTCTGCAGCCTTTTGGAAATATTCTTTGTGACCCACCCGCCAAGTTTCTGATCCGTATAGAAGAACTGACTTTACGTTTGTATTGAAAATCCGAATTTTGTTGGTGATACTGAGTGGTGGTGATTGACGTTGGATGTTGTTGCTGTTGTTGGTTGGTTATTTTCATAACCTCCGTCTTGTCTATGTTTACCTGGAGTCCTGTCTTCGCCGGCTGCTTCTTCGACCAGTTTGTCGGTTTTCGCTTGTAAGTCTTCGATTGTGTGTGACATCAAACATAAGTCATCCAGCGCGAAATCCAGGTCTTCTAGGTTCTTCACGTCGGTCCAGGATATTCCTGTCTTCTCGTTTCCCACAGTCTGACGCATAATCCAGTCCACCACAATTAGGAATATCATTGGTGATAATAAGCACCCTTGTCTGACTCCTGTGTTTACTCCAAACGCCTCGCTGAGTCTTCCGTTGTGGATCACTTGGCAGGTGCCGTTGTCGTACAGCTGTTGAATAAGGTTGATGAATATTTGGGGTACGCCATAGTACTCGAGTAATTTCCAAATTACTTCACGGTCAACGCTGTCGAAGGCCTTCTCAAAGTCTATAAAGTTGAGGTAGAGGTTTGATTGCCATTCCATGCTTTGTTCGTGATGATGATGCGTAGAGTTGCAATTTGGTCAGTACATGATTTGCCTTTCCTGAATCCAGCTTGTTCTGGTCGGAGTTCTGTCTCCAGTGCGTCCTTTAATCTCTCCAGGATGATGCGACTCAGGATTTTACTTGGCGTCGATAGGAGCATGATTCCTCGCCAGTTCTTGCAGAGTGAGGCGTAAGTCGCCCTTCTTTGGTAGTTTCACGAGGTAACCTTTCCTCCAGTCAGTAGGCACCTTTCCCTCCTTCCAGACCTTTTGCAATAATGGAGTCAGCATGTCTGCTGTCGTCTCTGGGTCTGCTTTCAGTGCTTCAGGGGGTATTCCATCTGGTCCGGCTGTTTTTCCAGCTTTCAGAAGTTTGATTGCATTCAAGACTTCAGCTCTCGTTGGAGGATTGGTGTCAACTTGCAGTTGTGTGCGCGCTGTTGTTGGTATTTCTGGACGGGTTGCAGGTGGTGGTCGGTTCAAGAGTCCTTTGAAGTGATCCGCCCATTGTTTAATCTGTTTTTCTTCCTTGGTAATTGGGTTCCCTTGGCTGTCTTTTATAGGTTTCGCTTGTGTTGATCTCTTCCCGGATAGAGATTTGGTTATCTGATATAGTGTCCTCAGGTCCCTTTTGCCTGCTGCCTTTTCAGCTTCAGTAGCTAGATTGTCGTAGAATCGTCTTTTGTCCTTCCTAGCACTCTTCTTCACTTCTTTGTCCAATGCTTTGTAAGTTGAGCTCAGCGTCTCCTTCTCCTGTCCGTCCTTGCATTGAATCATTTTCTCTTTCACCATTCTCCTCTCTTCTATTAATTTCCAAGTGTCCGTTGAGAGCCATTCCTTGTCTTGTCTCTTCTTTCTTCCTAGAACCGTTGAACACGTTTCGTTGAGAATCGCCTTCAGAGACTTCCAATGTTCTTCCACGCATGATTCTTCAGTGATGTCGCGTAGTGTTTCCTGCTTTGCTCTGACAGTTGCAGTGAAGGTGTCTTTTGTGGTTGTGTCCTTCAGTAATTGAGTGTTGAACTTGCATTGTGGCCTATCCCCAGCTATCCTCGAGGCTTTTAGTTTCACCTTGAAAGTCCCTTCTACTAGATAGTGGTCTGAACCCACATCTGCTCCTCTCCTTGACCTTGTGTCCAGTAGGCTCCGTCTCCACTTTCTTGAAATTGAGATGAAGTCTATTTGATTCTTGGTGTTTCCATCTGGTGAAATCCATGTCGTCTTGTGTATATCCTTGTGTTTGAACACACTACCGCCAATCACCAAATCATTGAAGGCGCAGAAGTCTGAGAAGAGTTCACCATTGTCGTTCATTTCACCGAGGGCCTCACGACCCATGGTGAGTTCTCTTCCTGTGTTGTCTCCTCCCAGCTTCGCATTCATGTCGCCCATCAGGATTTTGATATCGCCATTTGGGACGTTGTCCATTATTGCTTGTAGTTGTCTGTAGAACGCCTCCTTCTTCTCTTGTTCTGAGACGTTTGTAGGCGCATAACATTGAATGACTGTAACTTTCCTTCCTTTTGAGTTGAACCTGGCTGTCATTATCCTGGAGGAGATTGGTTCCCACTGCATGAGAGCTTTGGTTGCTGTTGGTGACATCATGATGGCCACTCCCTCGGTGTGCTCATGGTTGTCCTCTAGGTGGCCGGAATAGATTACTGTCTCTCCAGTAGGTAGTTGGCACCTTCCAGTTCCGTTCCATCTGCTCTCGCAGATTCCCAACACTTCTATTCTGTACCTTCTCATTTCAGCGGCTATCTGGGCAGCCTTTCCAGTTTCGTACATTGTGCGAACATTCCAGGTACCCATCCTTACTTTTGCTTTCATCGAAAGAAGGCACATCGGCTGACTGGCTTCCCGAAGGCTTTCACCAGCCTGCGTCATTTCACTTCCCCGATTCCAGCGAAAAGTAAGGCTATTGCTTATGTTTTTAGAATTTTTAATATATTTATTCGTTGAAGTTTCTGTAGCGATTTGGTTGTTTTACAGGGGTGGAGTTGCTAGCACCACGCCCCAACCCTCCCTCTTTACCCGGGCTTGGGACCGGCGAGAAAACTAGTAAGCTAGTAGCCTAGCAAGCTAGTATCTGGCGAGGTTAAAGTACAAATCATAAATGTGAATAAAACAATTCCAACAGTGGTGTGAACACGGGCAGTAATTTTGCTCGAAATATTACCAATAACAAAACTTATCACTGTGTGTGAAATATTGAAATATAATTATACTTTATTTAATCTGTAATAATGTACATGAAAATATATAAATGTATGTTCATTTCCTAAATAAACGATCTATTCCCTGGCCCTTGTCTTCTGTTGTTACAAAAGTATTTCTCTTCATTATTAGCGCATCACAATGTCTTTTAACTCTTCTGAATAATGTTTGTACATAGTTTATTGAGTAAGCCTTTGGATTATCGCAGTTGAAGTTGAGTATTTAATCTATGTGCGTTGAATCCAACTATACTCATGTCCCTAGGTTTCCTGCTTTTGTTCTCTTGATTGAAATATATAAGAAAGGAAGTCTGTCATTTGATGTCTTCAGACATGCTGTTGATAAATTTTTGAGCGTATTCTAATTCTTTTCTTTTAATGATGACTGGGGTGTCATCAATATAAAGTATTTAGATTTTTGGTTTATTGGTGGTAGAGGTAGAGGTATCATTTGTAGTCTTTTCATAGCAACCTCAGTAAATTATTTCTGATATGAGCGACGATCTCATCAGTATTCCGTTTAACTGTTCCTATGTAATATTTATAGTTAAATTACAAATAAATATTTAACCGAATTCATTTTTATTAATCCCCAGTCTTTTCTGTTTCTCTTTCTAGTGTTGTTCAAACAACTAAGAAAACAACGAGTTCCACACAAAAGCAGCCTGTAAGTGTATTAACTATCATGCAAACTAATCAGTTATACATAGAATTTACTGAACGACGATTAAACCTTTTTATTACTTTTATGATAACACTATAAGACATAATGTTCGCTTCCATTCCTTTTGCTTTCTGAGTTGAATACAGGACTTCGAGTGAGAGTTCTGAAGTTTCAGTAGCGATAGTGTTCTTTTAACAGGATGAAGTTGCTAGCCTCAAGCACTTCCCTACCACTTTACCGGGTTTACTACCCATTAAATGGGGTTTATAGGTGTAAGTGTGTTGGCAAGGAGTCGGACCCCGGACCACCACACGTTCAGATATAACGTTGCCTAATCCCTACCACAAAATTTCTAAAACAACTCCAAGTTATATTTAATTGAAGTAGAAATGTAAGGACAGAAGACAAGGGCCAGACAACAGACCGTTCATTGAGAAAATCAACAGATATTTATAGTTTTTATGTACATTATTATTCTTTGTTGTTACCAGAGAAGCAACGTCTTCCGATTGGTTGTTTTCCTGCTGAAGGTTATTCTGTCATCTTTTTGTTGCCTTTCCTTAGACAGTCCGGTGATGTATCTGAGAATTGTATCCGCCCACGCTAAGTCTGCTGTGATTGGTTGTTAAGTTCCTCAAGGCTAGGCTCTGTTCTTGTTTTTTCTTATGACCCCTATTTGGGACGTAAACATTGACGTCAGTTGTTGTCTACAATTTTGTGTTGCAGATAGCTCTCACCACAGAAGTAATTGCTAACTACTCCAGTTGTTTATAACCAGAATCGATATAATGAAAACAAATTGTCAACTGCTGAGCGAGTAACATTTACATATCTGTTTAAATCAATTTTTGATTTCCCATTGTTTGACTGAACCGACATGTTCGGCTTGTGTTGACATTTCATCTCCTATTATGGATACTTCTACAATGTGTGAGGACTGATGTTGATGTTATTTAGTGGATGGTGACTAGCAGTGGAATGACAGGTGCCAATCGAACCGTAAACAAAATGTCAACTTATCGTTTTTGCGAAAAAAGGGTGGATCTCATGGCAGAAGACGTCTAGTAGATAAAGCTTTTGGCGTTTGACACCAACCGCAGTGGGTTCGAGTCCCAGTAGAAAACACCACTATCTACTGGGGATCGCAAGTACATCCAGATGATGACTCCCGAAATCGAACGAAGTGAGCATCGTAGATTCCACTGATAGCCACCATCTACCAAAGAGTACCAGAATCGATATTTCTATCAGATCAAATTAATCTAGTCAACAAGTGAAGAAAATTATTGTAGATGCGTTATTTTTTTTCTTTTTCAAAATTGTGTTGGCTGACTTGAAAGTGAATTTCAGAATAAAAATGATTAATGTCTTAGTACGAAATCAGAAGTCCTGAATGCAATCAAGATGCTAAGAGCTGGGAAAGCACCAGGACCAGATGGAGTCCCAGCAGAAGCTTTGAAAATAGACCCAGAGACAACAGCGAACTAGATGACGCCACTGCTGGAGAAGGTGTGGAAAGAGGGCAAAGTACCCGAGGATTGGAAGAACGGATACTTATTCAAACTACCAAAGAAATGAGACTTAAGTCAATGTAAAAACTGGCGTGAAATTATGCTCCTGTCCATTCCAAGCAAAATACTAAGCCACATCATCCTGGAGAGAATCAAACAAGCCCTAGATGAAAAACTTCAACTGGAACAGGCCGGATTCAGGAGAAACAAGTCATGTATTGATCAAATCCCCACTCCACGGATCATCATTGAACAAAGATTGGAATGGCAGTCACCTCTCCACCTCACTCAACTTCATCGACTTTGAAAAGGCCTTCGACAGCGCAGCTTCGATCGAGAGGTGATTTGGCAACTACTTCGCTACTACGGGGTCCCATCGACAATTATACATCCCATCCAACAGTTATACGACAATGGTGCATGACAAGTAATCCACAACGGGAAACTTACGGAAGCCTTCGAAGTGAGGACGGGAGTGAGACAAGGCTGCCTACTATCACCAATTATCTTCCTGATTGCAGTAGATTGGATAATTCGACAGACAACGGCAACCAACGAGGGAACAGGCATAAAATGGACTGACACAAACAGAGACTTGGAGGATCTGGACTTCGCCGATGATATATGTCTGATTTCCCACAAACTGGAAGATATGCAAGTGAAAAGCAACAAGTTGGCAGAAGAAGCATCCAAAGAAGATAGGACTTCAAGTGAACATAGATAAAACAGAGGTGATAAAGATTCCTGGCCAACATCAACAGCAACAACAACAACAGACGACAATCAGCCAGCATAAATGGGAGGAACCTGAAAGAAACAACCTCCTTCGCCTACCTACCTACCTACCTGGGAAGCATCGTTTCAACTACAGGCGAACGGAACTGACGAGGATATCAAAGCCAGAATCGGAAAAGCAAGACAAGCTTTCATTATTCTCAAGTCTGTGTGGAGGTCAACATCACTCAGAATCAAAAATAAGATCCGGATTTTCAACTCAAATGTGAAATCAGTGCTACTCACTATACGGATCAGAGACTTGACCAGCGCGTCATAAAGAGTATCTCAAACAAACTACAGACCTTCATTGACAGCTGTCTTCAATCAGTACTCAAGATCAGATGACCGGCCAGAAACAGATCAGCAACAGAGATCTCTGGCAATGAGTGAAACAACCAGGAACCGATTGTGAAACAAATCGGCAGGAAGAATTGGAGATGGATTGGCTGGCGATTCTCTGAGGAAACCATCAAGTGAGTGACATCACTAGACAAGCCATCGCTCGAGTGGAACCCGAAAGGGAAGCGGCGAGTTGGTCGTCAGTGCAAGGGTGACTTGGAGGAGGTCATGCGAGGAGGAGATGAAAGCATATGGACAGACCTGGAGCAGGGTGAAAAAGTTGTCAGAAAACAGAAGGCAATGGAGGTGCGCAGCTGAAGCCCTATGTTCCTCTAGGAACTAAAGGATACAATAATAATAATAATATACATTCCCTTTCTAGATAACTCCTAAACTTTTATCATGATAATTATAAAAGTAAAGGTATTGTTAACATAGATAATAATCTATGTGAAGCGTGATCAAATTTTGACCGAATATTTTCAAAATAAATGGACGTCGAGTGAGAAATACACATGTAAAAATTATATTTGTATAATCTCAGAGAAATTTCTACACGTCTCGTTCGGCAAACTGGCTCAAATTTCTTATTTAGTTGAATTTTAGATTTTCCCGTCGAGTGATTGGACTGAAGTGTTCGGTCTCAGGTTGACATGTCGACTTCTTGTGTAGATGCTTCAAAGATGTAATTAGAGGTTAATTGGTGACCGGCAGTGGAACATCAACACTCACTGGGGAATGCAGGTATAGCCAGATGACGAGTCCAAAGTAGGACGAAATGCGCATCCTGGATTCCACTGCTAGTCATCATCCACCAGTTAACCTCTGGTTCAAATTTCATCTGGGAAATTAATCAAAACTAAAATAACAAAGGTTCAAGTATAAAAAGGCCATATACAAGATAGAAACGGGACATATGATCGACTTTGATAGGACTAAGGTTCTGCAGAAAGTTTTTGGTTCGTATAAAGAAGGACTGACTGCAGAAGCCCTTCTTATATGGGTGAATCCCGATAGTTTGAAAAGGCGTGAGGGTGTGATGTTGGCTGATGCATGGCAGTTCCTAATCAATAAATAATAGTGGATATGTGTCACGAATCAATTATACTTTATCTAAATTCCTGATTGTCCATATTTTTCAGGTGTTGGTTTGTTGGGATTTGATTGGTTACAGGATTTCATCATGAGCTGACATCATTTAGAGAACCATTGGAAAACCTGGGAGTACTGGACAGCTGTTTCGCCCTAGTTCGGGACTCCTCGCAGTTCGCACCCGCCCCAGGGTTCGAACCCAGAACCTTCTGGTTACAGGGCAAGCTTTTGGACTATTAAGCCACTGGGACCCGATCCAATGGCCCGTGAATTCTAACTTCTGCCAATTCACGACATAGTGCGGCTACTAGCCAAAATCTCCAGCGAGTATTTGTCCTCACACCCAACACTTGAATAACAATGACTTTCTCACTAGCGACTTCCATTATTTAGGTAAGTAGTTACCTGGGGTTCTAGTGAGAATTCGTGACCAGCAGGGTGCAGCAGGTCGGGTGTGAGGACAAATACCCGCCGAAGACATTGGCTAGCGGTCGCGCTATATCGTGAATTGGCAGAAGTTGGAATTCACGGGCCATTGAATCGGGTCCCAGTGGCTTAATGGTATACGAGCTTGCCTTGTAACCAGAAGGTACTGGGTTTGAACCCTGTGGTGTGGGTGCGTACTGCTGAAGAGTCCCAAACTAGGATAACGGAAAAAGTTGTCCAGTACTCCTAGGTTTTCCAATGGTTCTCTGATTGATGTCAGCTCATGATGAAATCCTGTCTATATTTTCTTATGGAGTGGCTAACAAATTATTTACAATTGTTCCCTCATGTGCATATGTTTTCACACACACTGTAACAACAAAAGGCAAGACACGGAAGTTAAGGTATATTTTCAAGTGATCAAACCGATATCACTGAGCGTGTGACTTTGGCTTAAATTTAACGACGTAAAATAGAATGTTAAAATAAACATAGATCCTGTTGCTAACTTTGTTTTGAACTGTGAGAATAAGTAAGAATAATGTTCCGCTGGACACCTTGTCTGTATCACACCATCACTTTCTACAGCATATACAAATACTTTTATATTCACTTATCCGTGACCATGGTCCTTAGTCAAACGTAATCACTAGAATTCTGACGCAAAAGTGCACACTGTTTAAAGTGTTTAACAAAAAGTAGGCTGATGAATTCAAATAAAGTATAATTATATTACAATAGTTACTGATGTTAACTTCAAGTCTGTTGTCACGTTTTGATCACAGTTCACGCAATTTTGTTGACTGTATTTTGATGTCACCTCATGAATCATGTGACTGCACAAGGCTTTTAAAGACAAGGTGTGTCCTTCTTATAACATATATGTATCTTTATTATTCATTATAATAAAGGTTTTTGTATTTCCCAATGAATGAAAAACAAAACGATGCTCTTGTTTTTACTGACGTTTCGCTATTTAATGCTGCTTCTAATAGCTTTATCAAAGTAGCAATATTAAATCGGAATTTACAAAATCCACTCAGCATATAATATAACAAAGAGTTAGGAGGTGGGTGAGAAAATAGACTTAGGTCAAGTTAAAGGGACATATTGAAAGTCGAAATAACAATGAAGATCACTAAACCAAATAACAAAGGTAACAGTACGTCTGTTATGATATCAAAATAAAGTTTACTAACTTGATCATCGTTCGTCTGTCTGGGGTCGTTTTTGGCTGTCAAGTTGGAGAATAGGTAAAGGTAACCAAACTAAGTGTAGATTGTGAAATACTTGATTATCGTTCGTCGGTATGAGGTCGTTTTTTGTTGTCAAGTTGGAGAATAGGTAAAGGTAACCAAACTAAGTGTACACTGTGAAATACTTGATCATCGTTCGTCAGGCTAGGTCGTTTTTTGTTGTCAAGTTGGTCAATTGGTAAAGATAAGAAAATCAAGTGTAGATTGTTGGATTTGATCAGTGTGTAGAATTATGAAAGTAGTGTGTGTTTACATAGTTAACTTGCTTATCACATTCGTGTTGATTTTGCTAGTTCATGGAGGAGGGAGGTGTTGTAGCCAGGTCAGATTCTGTTTCAGTCCATCATTCCTATTCATGCAATTTGGATTCCACTTGATATGAAGTACTTCTGATGATATTAGACGTCCTTTGTGATTTCTGAAGAGAGATGAACGATGATCAAGTTAGTAAACTTTATTTTGATATCATAACAGACGTACTGTTACCTTTGTCATTTGGTTTAGTAATCTTCATTGTTATTTCGACTTTCAATATGTCCCTTTAACTTGACGTAAGTCTGTTTTCTCACCCACCTCCTAACTCTTTGTTATATATATGCTGAGTGGATTTCGTAAACTCCGATTTAATATTGCTACTTTGATAAAGCTATTAGAAGCAGCATTAAATAGCGAAACGTCAGTAAAAACAACGATATCGTTTTGTTTTTCATTCATTGGGAAAAACAAAAACCTTTATTATAATGAATATGATATATCCAATGCCCAAATTTTCTTAAATCGTGAACTTGGTTTGGACATATGTATGTATCTTTGTTGATTTAATTTTGATTAATTTCCCTGATGAAATTTGAACCAGTTTGCCGAACGAAATGTATTGGAATTACGTATTTCGATTTCACTGAGATGTTACAAATATAACTTTTACGTATGTAGAGATAATAATCACAGATTTAAATTGAAATAGTTTAGAACAAAAACAATAATTGGGACATAAGTATAAAACTTGAGCACTGTGGTAGAGTATAACTCCATTATGGATAAGATTTTATTTTGATATATCACACAGTGTTGCGTGAGTGACTTGATATGATTATGAGCAATAATTTGTACTCGAAACTTCATCAGTTAATATTGCTGTACAACACTGTGTGATTTATCAAAATAAAATCTTATCTATAATGGAATAATTGGGACAGAAAACTGTTCCCCATAAAGCCTTCATCAGTCTCTATAATCATATAGCCGATTAATTTTAGCACACAATAGCCAATAAAGGCAAATTAGAAATACGATAGGAAAGTGTACTGCATGGTTCAAGTACTAGACGGAATAATTGTCAGTAATTCCATTATGGGTAAAATTTATTTTTAATAAAGTCTCACAGTGTTATATAGTAATATTTAATGATGACCACTTTTCGAGAACAATTTATTGCTACTCATAATCATATCAAGGTACTCACACAACTTTCTAACTTCGTCTATATAATTCCATTATTTTCCATCGCTTGACTTGATTGGTAGTAGTATTTCCATATTTCCGATATGAGTGATGAGCCATTCCTATTTCACCTGTTGGCTTAGGTTCTGACAATCTGACTACTCCCGACCTACTAGTTTCAGCTATGCAGTTGACCTCACTCACGGTCATTGCAAAGTATTTCGCAAATTATATTATTTTGTTTAATTGGGTCTACTGGGTCGGAAAATCAGAATTTAGCTAAGGTAAGAATGGTTGACCCCGAAAAGATAAGTAATTTAGAAAAAAGCTCAGCACTACATTGCACTACATACATAAAACACACAACCACACAATATGATGGGAGAGGGCCAAAATTTTAAGAAGTAATATAGGTAGGTGGAGAGAGAGGTTGATTACTGATACCTTGTTCATCAAGTCTACAGCCAACAGGTGAAATAGGAATGGCTCATCACTCATATCGGAAATATGGAAATACTACTACCAATCAAATCAAGCGATGGAAAATAATGGAATTATATAGACGAAGTTAGAAAGTTGTGTGAGTACCTTGATATGATTATGAGTAGCAATAAATTGTTCTCGAAAAGTGGTCATCATTAAATATTACTATATAACGCTGTGAGACTTTATCAAAAATAAATTTTACCCTTAATGGAATTATAATCTACCACAGTGCACAAATTTTATTCTTTATATAATTGTCAGTAAGTATAAATCCATGTCAAATGTACGATCCATATGAAAGTGAGACAAAATCAAATTAAACAATTCTGCTATGTACTTGTATATTTAAAATCGATAAAAAGCATCGATTTCAACGGGTGAATATAGTTATTGGCATGAGAAAGAATATGAATATCACGGATGTAAGTTCAAGTAGTGACAAGTAACAAGAAAAATGATGATAAGATAATGACGATGGAGTAGTGCAAACACAAAAGTTCTGTGAGTGGACGGTTATCAGATAATGAAGAATTTAGTAGAATGGAATGAAAATGATTGTGTAGATACAATAGCATATTTGGAAAGCATTACGTTAAATCAAGGGTAGCAGGTATGAGAATATAGGTTACGAAAACGTAAAAGGTCTGGAGCAAAACTTCATCAGTGAAACAAACGAGAGGAAGGAAAAGAATGCGATAGGGATTGAAAGTGTTGACTACTAATATTTTTTGGAGGAGTTGTTGACTTTATTGTCAGCCAAGATGAACAAAGCGGTTAGACATACTTTTTTGGATACAGAGACTAGTGTCTTCTGGTACTGATTACTACTGATAGAAGACGAAGTCGAGCTATTCTGGATAGATTATCCGGGACACGGCAGATCATTGAGAACGCGTGCTGTGGGTTGCTCGGATAGCCAATATCCATCAAGTGGGCTAAGTTCGCACTATTGATACATTTGGTTGCCCCAGCACACAACCATACATATAGGTATTCTCGTAGGTACTGTAGGACACTACACTCTTATCTGCTTCAAGAAAAGTATATTAATCTCAGGAAACCATAAAAACAGTTGACAGATGGAGAAATTTTAGTAATACGCATCGAAGAACAATGAATCACTTTGTGAAGCTACTCTATACTAAAGGCAGCTGCTTTGTTAGATGATTGGAGGCAATCGGTAGAGCACCTTAAACCAAGGTTTCGTGCTTTGTTGGCACTCGTTAGCAAGGTATATCTGCAATCTTGAAATAACTTATATCCCTTCTGATAGGATTAAATCTGCACCAAACCGAGAACTACATGTACGCCATTGCTTACTACCTGGTGTCTAATCAAAGTGTTCATTTCAATCATACAAAAGGTCATTCGCCAGCACAAACAGCTGAGTGATAAGGTCTGTGACTTCAAGGTTATGATATGGTTATGAGCAATAAATTGTGCTCGAAACGTCATCAGTTAACATTACTGTATAACACTGTGAGACTTTATCAAAACAAAATAAACGCATAATGAAATTCTCTGACTTCAACACTGAGTGACCTGGATTCGATTCTCAGAAGGTACACGAATCTCTTCAAGATTAGAGAAACGCCTTGCTGACGAGTACCAACAAATACGAAACCCAGGTCTAAGGCTTCTTACCGATTGTCTGTAACCATCTTATAATAACAATTCAGAATGCACCGTGATGATGAGCCAGCTAGTATGGTGGGGCCACATTGCACACTTGACTGATAAACTTATGCCTGCACCAGACGAAGATTTTAGATGTATATAACATTAGTTACTATCCTGTGTAAAATGAAAGATAACTTCCTTAAAATTATCTAATTTCACTCTATTTTAGTTTACTAGTTTGTAGTAATTTCAAGGAGTGAATTCTTGTTTCCTCAATCGCATAACAAAAGCTGTGATGATGAGATCAATATGCTCTTAATATCCGTTCCCATATCTTATTTGTACCAGTGACCAATCAGGACACCTATTTACTCATATTCATTTTAATAGGGATATGGGAAACTTATCTTAAAGTTATGAAAATTCCCATTGTTAAGATTGAAACAATACATATAGGCAAACGATATTATTTTCAATTATATCTTTTATATATATATTATAGATCAATAATGGCGGGGCAGTGCTATAAATTTTGTCATTTATGCCGGTAATAGCAACGATGACAATAATAAGAACAATACCAATAGTAACTAAATTGGGAGGTTTATTCAGGTGGCGATTAAAACAATAATGAAAACACTATGTAGATATTTCAGTAATTAAATTAGATCAGAATCTGATAAAATTATACGTTGTATAGTGCTAGAAATAGAGTGAATAGATAACCAAAGTATAAATGTAAGTAACAGTCTAATGAATATTGATTATTCAAATGTAATTAGTCAAACAATGTGTATGTTTTCCTTCTAGTTGAAGTCTAACCCAACCATGACTACTAGTAAAGATATATTGACGTCAACGTCATCATCAACATCAACATCAGTGCCATCGACTCAAGCAACACCAAGTAGCAGTACATCTAAGTCAGAGAAATCAACAAATTTAAAACGCGCAACAACTTTGAAATCATTGAACACTTGAACAAGTACAACTTAAACAAATAACTTCTCATTTTGAAATGTGATAGATATACCATAAACTTTATTGCCGTTTTTAATATCTTTCATAAAAATGTTTAGCATACAAAGATGACGATAAATCTTTTTTTCCCGTTTAAGCCTTTTTTTTATTTTTTACCAAATTAGGGTATGATTTGTTTTCGAGCACAATGTGATAAATATTTTATGTTTATATTCATACATTCATCCATACATATATTTTAAATGATTCTCCAGTTCTTTATTTTTCACATTTATTGATGAATAAATGTAGAAAGAGACAAATTCATTATATCATGACATAATACATCAGTTTTTAGCTTCTTCCTTTTTTTCGGATGACAAACACACTCAGATTCTTCTCCATTTCATTTCCATTTTCATACTTTCCTCCGCTTTTTGCTTTTGAAAGTGTTCATGTTGTTTTTATTTCTGATTCTTCTTATTCTATAACACTTTATATTTTCACATTCAGAGTGTATTATTATGTAGGAAGTGTAAAAGAACCATGTAAAATTTAAGATATAATGTGATGTAAAAGGGGAAGGAGAAGAATTTTATTCTAATTATGAACTCACAAAAGTCAAATCCAAGATAGATACCTCTTTTTTTAGTCTTTACAGTAGTTTTCTTAACTTCGGTAGATATTCTTTTTTAAATGAAGCAAATGTATGAAATAGTAGTAAGTATTTAGTTATTCATTGTGTAAGTTTGTAATGAATCAACACTTTTGAAGTGTTACAACCTCCTTACTTTACTGTTACATTTGTTTCATTATAACTTCAATACCTTGTTATGCGTCTATGAAAGTTGAAAGGAAATATTTATACATTCAAGTTAACCCTAGTGTACGATTTTGTTTAGACTTATGGAGAGACGCGGATTATTATTATCGTTTCCTTGGGTTCCTAGTGGGACATAGGGCTTCAACTGCACATCTCCACTTACTTCTGTCTTCTGCTAAACTTCTCAACTGCGTTCATGTTAGTCCATACTCTTTCAAATCCTCTTCACACGATCTCCTCTATGTCACTCTTGAACGTCCCACTCGCCGCTTCCCTTTCGGGTTCCACTCGAGCTATGGCCTGGTGCGCGCGCGTTGTCACCCAGCGGCCTCCTCAACGAGTATCTAATCCATCTCCACTTTCTCCTGCATATTTATTGGGCGATCGGTTCTTGTTTTGTTCGTTCCCATAGTTTCTTGTTGGTGATTCTTTCCGGCCCGGCCATCTGATCTTCATTCAGTATAGAGGGAAGACAGTTAGTTGTTGAAGGATGAAGGTCTGCAATAGCCAGCTTGTTGGAAATATTCTTTGTGACCCGCCCGCCCGCCAAGTTTCTAATCCGATCCGTATAGAAGAACTCACTGACTGACTTGACGTTGTTTGTATTGAAAATCCAACCGACGGAATTTTGTTGTTGATTCTGGCTGAGTGACGAAGATTTCCAGATTGGTTTCAGGTTGATTAATGTGTGTTTCTCGCCTTCCTGATTCTCGATTTGACATCTTCGTCCGTTCCGAGTGCCTGTAGTTGAGACAATGCTCAATGCTAGATAAGTGAATAAAGTAACCTCTTTCAAATCCCTCTTGTTGATGGTGATTGGCGCTGGATGTTGCTGCTGTTGTTGTTGGCTGGTTATTTTCATAACCTCCGTGTTGTCTATGTTCACCTGGAGTCCTGTCTTCACTGTCTGCTTCTTCGACCAGTTTGTCGGTTTTCGCTTGTAAGTCTTCGATTTTGTGTGACATCAAACATGACACGGATACGACAGACGAAAACTTAATAGGAATCAATGAAAGGAATATATTTTCGTGATCTCTTCATTAAGAGAAAGAGGGAGAGAGTCTGTTGTCAGTCTGATATCGAATGTCTTGATTAAACTGACTACAACTAAATTTTAGTGTTCATTATGCAAAGGGTGCCATTCACTTACCAACATTATATCCTTACGAGCTATGTAGTACAATGAGATTTTATCATTGAACTCATAATCTACAAGAACCATCCCCATGTACAATGAATATTGATAATGGTACCAATAAGTCTCATCAATCGGGATGATAATATGTATTTTTTACTGATAGTGACACGGTAATTAGATTCAAGGATCTCTAATTCTTACAAGCCATGAGAATTAAAATCTGTTTTCTTCCTATCATTGATTCATAGCTTATCAGTGTACTTTATGTTGTAACAACAGAAGACAAGGGCCAGGCAACAGAGCGTTTTATTATGAAAATCAACACGTATTTATACATATTTCACATACATTATTATAGCTTATGCAAGTAGACAAGCGCAGTCATCTGATTGGTTGTTTATCAGAAGTTAGGCAGACAAACGCAGGCTTCGGATTGGTTGTTTCGGGATTCCTCGACAAATAGAGTTCTCTATCTGCGAATCATATTTTGCCACGTTAACTTTGCTGTGATTGGTTGTTGAATCAGCCTTGCTCATATTTTCTCACGGCCTGCTCTCACCACAATGTAAGTTGAAAAAAGTGATATTGTTGGTATTAAATGATTGGAGGCAATTCGCCACAGGAAGCCTTGGAACTAGATATCGTGCTAATGGCATCCACCATCAGTCAGCAAGATGTATCTTTAACCTTGAAGGAACTCATGTCCCTTCTGAAATTTGAAACCTCGTCACCCAGTGCTGCAGTCAGAGATGTTACCACTGAGCTAGCTATTCGAACACGCGATTGACCTCCTGTAGGACTGTATTGGATATAACTAGTGTAGTGTATCTAGTTCTATCTTTCGTGCAAACTGAATCCTATCAATCAGATACGCCTTGCTGACTGACAGGTGGTAGGTGCCAACTAGCAGGAAACCTAGATCCACCACCTCCTGTGGCCGATTGCCTCCAACCATCTTATAAGAACAGTTCAGAGTGCACTGTGATAGTGAGCCACCTAGCATGATGGCCACATTGCACACTTTACTGATAAAATGCAGTCTGCATCAAAGATAGGACTAGACACATTAAACTAGTCACTGACTAGTGTCCAATCAAAAAGAAAAATGATATGTACAACATTTGTTGGCCTTTTCAGTGATAGATTGCTCACCCCAAACACACGTGGTTGAGGACTGATCCCTGACTGACGCACTTCTTAACCTTGCCTAGTTTACTGGCTGATCATAAATCTGGGAAGGACTGCAGATTGGGGATGTAAAGCTAACAACACCACCACTAATAAAAATTCAAAGATTGAAGAGTCCTATGTTCTACTCAAAACTCAAAGAATATGATAAAGTGTACAAGATGATCACCGATATAAGTGAAACTGTGATTTCCTCTGTAAACATATCCTGTTTTCAGTGTGTAATTTGTTATAAATATATAAGTTTTATGAGTAATCTCCATCCAGACACATTAATGAAAGCGAAACACGTAGTAGTTTGGCGAAGAGGCTCTTTTCGGCGAATTTATTTTCCCCTTTAGTTGTACACTCATATGTATACACAACTTTTCCATAAAAGAGAATAGTAACAAAAGTGATGAGTTGTCACTATCATAGTTTTTAGTGTTAATCACTGCATAAAAGGAGTTGAATAAGTAAGTGTATTAGAGTTACGTAATAAGATGAACAATTCAATGAATGAGTTGTAATCAGGATGCCATTTAGGGACGAAGAAGAATATGAAGTTATGTAAGAGCTCTGAAAAAATACAACTGTTACTAGGAGTTAGAAAAACAAAAATCGAGGCAATAGAAATCAACAAGGTTTTTGCCATCATAGTAGAAGAGGTTGAATGATTTTCTTTCGTATGCATAGCTCCATTTTTTCTAAATGAATGGCTAAAATTTTATCAATACAAAGAAGATGAAAGCGTATTGCCTTTGGCAGGTTAATGTTCTTCAATTTGTAGGTATCTTTGAAGGTGGAGGTATTTGTTCAGATGGAGTGACCAGTATTGACAAGATGTTCGATTATCGCACTCCCTATAGAAAAACTACTACCTTTCTGCAGCTATGCAGGGGAGTGTTACTGAACCTTTTTTGGACGGGATACTCATCAAACGATCAATGTACCTGGCTCCACAGCAACACGTGTGAACTGATAGATACACATAGAAGGAGTTATATACGAGATCTTGTCTTAATTGCTTCTGCACACCAGTGAACGCCTGGAGTACACTACTCTTAGCATTGATGCGAAGAATGTTCCTTGAAATTACAAGAAGTATTGAAATATTACGAAGTGGACATATCACGTGGAGTCACACTGTGACTTTTGTATTGAATACCCCATGCTGGTACACCTGAACAAATTCTCATTCGTCATAATTATCACAATCTACTCAAAGATCATATATTTGGACTACTTAATAGTAACAATAATTAGTAGTAATAACGATATATGAGCGAGCAGTACAAATTTATTTCAGTTAAGTGTGTGAGACAATTTCGATAAATTTATTAAATGTTTACTATCAATTACCATGCAATTATTTGTCTGAAATCAATTACTGATCGATCAAAGTTGAAATCAGTCGAACCCCTAAAAAACAACACTTAGAAATTAATGTATTGCTCACTACTACTGACTAGCTACAGGATGAAGTTGTCAGAATTTCTGGTGGAAAGTCATGACTAGTGATGTCATTAAGGTCGGGTGTGCAAACAGTTACTCTCCAATAACAACATTGGATGATGAACGCGCTGTATATATTGCACATTGCGACACAAGTTAAAATTCAGGGGCCATTGGATTCCACATCCCAATGAACTGAATGGTTAACGGACTCACTTCGTAACCTGAAGGTCCTAGGTTTGATTTTTAGTGTGGTCTTGAATGCATACTGATGAAGAATGCCGAACTACGATGAAACAATTGTCCATTACTCCCTAGTTTTCAATTATTCTTCAAATGTCTGTTTTGACTGATAAAAGTCAAAACAGACATTTGGAGAACTGACTGATGAAACCCTACCGATAGCTGCTGCCTTGATGTGTGGTGGTCGGGCCTGCATATCGCATTGACCCAACAACCTATACTGGCTGGAACTATTGTTCTGGCAGGTCCTACCATGCCAGGAAGGTTGTTAGGATAGCAATTAGATTAAAAGCAGTTCACGGCATGGTGTGGGATTTTTTACACTTTGCTGGGGGCCTATGGGTGAAGTTGTACTGCAGGGGAACAGGGATGTAACAGCAGTAAGGTGTTTCCCTCAGATGACTGGCATGCTAGGTATGCTATCTCTCCCCTCCGGATGGAGGGTGTCAGAAAAGGTTGACCCCAAAAATTGTATATCCCGACTTACCATACGGTGGTCTTTAACCGGCGGTAAGTTTACTAATACGGAAGCAAACCAAGAAACCGTGTGTGACCGGCTCTGCGGTCACGCAACACTTTCTGTTTCAGGTACCCGAAAAATCAATCAACTTCCACGGTGTGGGCAGCCGGGAAGTAACAACCGCCCACACACTTCCAAAAGCACACGAAGCTTTCCTGAGCATCATTCTCCTCTACCCACATCACCTTCATCATCTTTCTTCCCTACTACAGTCAGTACTATTCTACAGGCCAGTGAGTCATCTTCACTTCATTCTGTGACCACATACAACAGTGAGAGCCATAGAAACACCCCCGACAGCCTCTTAAGGCCATGTCGCGAACTTCATGTAGGAGCATTTAACGTCAGGACCCTCTGCCAAATCGGACAACAAGCATCACCAGCAAAAAATCTGACATATCGAGCCATGGTTGTATGTTGTGTTTCGGAGACACACATACAAGACCCGAGTGTGGTCATTCACTTAGCCTCATCCGGCCAACAAGACTAATCTGTTAAATTCACTTTAGGG